CAAATTATCTAAAGATTTCGACGTAATGTCATAGACGCTTGTAGGCCTCATTTTTACCTGTAGGTCAAAACTGCCCTTAAATTTGAAGAAAATTTTGAGAGAACAGTAGGTCAGAGGGAATAGTTTGTCAATTTTTGACATGTAGGTTAAAACTGCCCTTAAATTTGACCGACATTTTGAGGGCTGAGAAAATTGTTTGTGAATTTTTGACGTTTAGGTCAAAACTGCCCTACATTTTGAGAGCAGAGGGAATCGTTTGTCAATTTTTGACATGTAGGTTAAAACTGCCCTTAAATTTGACCTAAATTTTAAGGGGAGAGGGAATTGTTTGTCAATTTTTAACTTGTAGGTCAAAACTACCCTTAGAATTGACCTAATTTTTGAGGGCAATGGGAATTGTTTGTCAATTTCTGACGTGTAGGTCAAAACTGCCCTTAAAATTGACCTAAATTTTGAGAGCAACGGGAATTGTTTGTTAATTCTTTACGTTTAGGTCAAAACTGCCCTTAAAAATCACTTACATTTTGAGGGCAGAGGGAATCGTTTGTCAATTTTTAACGCTTAGGTCAAAACTGCCCTTAAAATTGACCTAAATTTTGAGGGTAGCGGGAATTGTTTGTCAATTTTTAACGCTTAGGTCAAAACTGTCCTTAAAATTGACCTAAATTTTGAGGGCGGCGGGAATTGTTTGTCAATTTTTGACGTGTAGGCAAAACTTCCCTTAAAATTGACCTAATTTGTGAGGGGAGAAACTGCAGGCCAACTCTTGACCTGTAGGTAAAAAAATCTTGAAACAGCGGCGACAGCGATATATTTTTATAATATAGGGAGATATATCTACCAATGCATTGGTAGGCGGTAGTCCCGCGAAAGGCAGCTATTAACTGGGGTTCGAGTCCTCACAAATGCACAGTGCAGTCGTTCACGCAGCTTATTTTTTCAGATCAAAAATTAAATTCAAAACCTATAATTATTTACCGACAACCATATTGGAATAATTATCTTAAGAATAACACCTGACTCTAAAACCAAAGAGTTCAATCGACGTCTAATAGATGTCACTAATTGCTGATATAGTCGAAATCTTCCTTAATTAAAAAAGCTTTTTTTTATTGAAATTTTTGTTTCTTAAAATTAGTATGTATCAAAAATATTACATGAGCAAAAGGTTTTTTAAACAAATGATAATGAAACAAATTAGTAGGTAATATAAAGATGAAATAAATAAAAAAATATTTGAATTTAAATAAAAGAATTTTAAGAAATACTAATTTTTATTAAATGGAAATTACCGATGGTAAATTACGGTGGTGTTACTCCGTGGCTTGCGATCAACGAGGTTAAGCAACGTCCAGTGCGGTTAGTACTTGGATGGGTGACCGCGCTTCGACTCTCTCTATAGCCCCGTGTTTTCTGACTGATTTCGTAATTTATCAAGCAGGAGGTTTGACGTCAAGGTATAATCATGTGCATTATTGATTATTGTCCAGTAAACGTCATTAGAATTCATTCGTCGATAAACTGGTTGTACTCAGGAGAGGTTTTTTTTAGTTTCCCTCTCCTCTGGCGAAAAAACTCATTTAGACGGGTTGTCCAGGCTAATGCGAGTACTCCTAATTCAAAGTCGTTCTGTAGACGCAAAAATTTAGTATAAGTCATAGTTTGTAAAAAAATTTCCACAAGAACACTTGTAACGCTTAGTATTAAGGCAAAAGACGAGTGTATAAATAAATTAATTTAACGGAAATTAGTTTATACACAAATTTTTTTTATGTATTTTTTGTTAAATACAATCTGTTAGTAATACTATCTTCTTATTTTCGCCGATAAAAAGTCTGTAGGAAACTTCATTATTAAGAAAAATTTCAGTAAGACATCTATTCTAAATACTAAGCATAATTCGATTTAAGTGTCGATAGGTATACTAAGTTTTTTGGGTCGCTGAATCCAAATTTGAAGTCAAATTTAAAAAATTCAAAATGGCGGATCCAATATGGCGACAAAATTTTCTTAATGTTGCGGATTTGTTTAATATTTCTAATCGGGAGTTTTTAGGGTCACTAAATCCAAATTTGATGTGAAAATTAAAATATTAAAAATAACTAATCAGAAGTGTAGCGTATGGTTCAACAAGCAATTTTTAACTAGACTGCGAAGTGGTTAAGGAGTTTAAAAAAAATTTTCATTATTCGATTGCAAGCTGCTCAATTGTGAACAGTAAGATGAAAAAACACCTACTGTGAGGAGGCGTAGCGTAGAGCGCGAGCAGCTTGCAAGCCTTAAGCTCAATCGGACCATCTCGTGACTTTATGAAAAATTTTCTCTATAGAGTAGTGGCACCAGTGAAAGCACATTTAAGGAAATGTATACTTTCGATTTTTTTACTTTAAAATTTTAATTGACATTCGTAAATTTCGTTTTAAACATATCGCCACAGTTTTCTAAAAAGTATCAAATTGATAGTAAATTTCAGATCAAATTGTGGCAACGTTTTGATACTGTATAATGTATCAAGTTAATACAAATATAACTATCTTTTTTAAGAATGATAGTCAATACAGTATCATTTTTTAATACACTTATCAATGTAATACTGTCATGGCCGGTTCGCATTAAAGGGTTATATACAGTCAGGCGGTCGGAAAAATTCAGTTTTTCAGGATTTTTTTTAAGGAATATTTACTTATTAAAGCGAAAGTTTGCCTATAATGTTTTACATCTTTTAAAGTAAAAAAAAAATATTTCATTTGTAAAAATATTTTTTTTTTTGGCCTCTGTAGCTTATCTCCCAAAGATCCACGAAAAAAAATTGTCCCGCTGTGAACAAGATAACAATTGATAGAATCATCTGAGATCAAAAAGTTAAATAGATTCAGTTAGTGTATGAAAAAATGTAGTCTTTGATCGTTGGAATTAAAAAAATATCACTTTTTGACAAAATGGCAGCCAAAAAGAAAGTTCATTTTTATGAGAAAAAAAATCGTCTTCAAATGTTGATTAAAATTATAATTTTAATTTTATTTAAAAAACCAACGATTAAGGACAGAAAAAAGTAGTTGTTGAGCTTGTGTGAAAATTAGACCTAAATCGGTTTAGCGGTTTTTAAGAAATCGTGTTCACCGGCTTGAAAAACATAGTTTTGAGAAAAGCGAGTTTAAAGACGCTGCACCTGCTCTACACCCCACGGTGCGTCTTTCTAGTTTTGTCTGCAACTTCAAAAATGTTTCTCAAATCTTAATAAAAATTTTTTTCACAACAGGCAAATATATATAATAGTTAAAATTTCGTTTAGCATAATGGTTTAAACCTTAAATGTTTAAAAACATGAACTTTTTCTCAGATTGTTCTATCGTTCCTGATAATGAAACCTTCGAAACATTTAAAATGATTTTTAAAAAAATTAGAAAATTGTACATAATTTCTATTTTTAAAAAAATTTCTTAACAAAATTCTGTTTTTTTAAAAAGGAAATAATTTGCATTATTTCAACTACAATTTTTTAACTAAATTCCAAATTTTGTATTTGTATGATTTTTATTTTTCAATAATGATTTTTAACCAAATTCTATTTTCTTTAATTAAATGAAAAAATTTGTCATAATTTATATTTTATAATACAAATTTTAAGAAAATTTCTGTTTTTTGATTTGTGTTAAAGAAATACTAAAATAAAATTTTTCATTTACTTTATCAGAAAATGAGAAATGTTAATAGACATTATTGTTAAATATCTATTGACATTAAAAGTAGAAGTAGTATGTAGGGGAAAGGTGTACGAGATGATCCCCTGAGGCAAGATGATCCTTTTGAATTTTGGAGAGCCTATTAGCGCCACCTTTTAGGCAAATACGGTAATACGTTGTCAATGACATACCTATGAATCAGTCAAACTGTCATGACAACACGCGTCATTAAAAAAATTCTACACTGAGAAAACTGGAGTGTCAAATTCGGAGGTTCAAAAAGTGTATGTTTCCTTTGCTTATGAAGAGAGTTAAATAGTCCTTCTAAAATAAATTTTGAATTGATAATGGAAATCTACTTGTATATTCTCTCCCATTATATCTGAGGGTTAAAAGTTGCGCAGAAAATGTGTACGATCTGATGCGCGCGAAATTATTTTTCTGACATTTTATGTATTTAATTTTGGGGGTTAGCCTGCAATATGCCGGAATGTTTTCAACACTCTATAATTTGCTATTTATTAATTATTTTTTTTGTTATTTAGTAATTACATTTAATATATTTTAATTATAATAACTTAAAATAATTATTAACAGAATTAATAGTTACATTGTTCCTTTTGAATTAATGTTGAATTATTATATTATCTGCTCTGGTATAATATATTAATTGAAAAAATGAATGTCATTCTTCTTAAAAATTTATATTTATATATATTGTATAAAATTATATAATATAAAAAATTATTATAGATTATTAAAGTAATAATAATATAATTTTGTATTATTACGAATAATAAAAATAGTTTTTTTATAAAAATTGAATCCTTATAATTAATATATGTACTAGTAAATGGTACGCGCGAAATATTTTGTTGAATTTATTATTATTATGCAAATTACAAAACATTTTATTTTCAAATATGAATTTTTGAAAAGTTTCAGATTCAAACTTTCAAAAAATTAAATTTTTAACTAATCTACTAATTAATTATTCTTGTTTATTATGTGACAACCCTAATCGCGAGATTTTAATTTGAAAATTAAAAATTGAGTTTGAAAAATATATGTAAGTACGGGTTCGACTCGCGACGGAAAGCACAATATACACTCACACACAGCTGATGAGAACTCTCTGGGTGCGACTACACTAGTTGCAGAGAGCGAGAGAAAGAACGTTGTAAGTACTGCTATCATGATGGCCAAAGGAAAAGATGGACTTACCGCTGTGAATCGCCGGCTCTCTGCGATGAGGAATCTCTACTTATTAAGAATGCGAAGCGAACACTATTAACAACAATAACCGAACAAATGAAGTTATATTTAATTTAGTATTTATTATAACACAAAAGAACAGTGATTTTAACAAAGAAATAACGCTAATCACGTATAACTTAGTGCGCTGTTCGCAACAATCTTTTATTATAATTTTCGACAATCTTTTAGCGCAGCTCGCGACAATCTGCCTGTCGGCGTCTCTTTTCGCTAGCACGCGGTTTTGTCGTCTGCTTTCAGCATCGAGAATCGATGTATCGATTAGTCATATCTCGCGATAGAACATCGATTCGCGAATTTCAAATAGTGTGGGAAGCAACTGCGATTAAAATCAATTCGGTTTGTTACATTTCCCCCTACTTAATCGAAGTTACTGTTGCATTCGATTTTTGACGCTGAAAGAAACATGATTAGCAAAACACACAAATTTTCGCAATATCGGTCCATCTTAATTGGCCATTGCGATTATAAAGAAAATAAAATTTTAATGAGAAACTTAATAATACAAAAAGTGTCTTTAAGCACTGTTATAGTTTTTTTTTGTGTGCGTATTTTCGCGGTTCACTCTTCTTCTTCGTCGTTGATTCCTAGTTCGTAGGCTTGAGACAATGTTTTCCATAATTCAGCGTTGTTGTCATCTGAGTCGAACGGTGAGAGAACTTTGTTTGGATCTCGGGTCTCGTTCTCGATAGCAATCTCTGAAAGTGGTAACGCTGAAGACGGCTCTCGCATTGCGGAATCTCTCAGTGTGGAAATATCACTGCTGGCTTCCGTGGCTGGTTCTCACAGTGGTCTCTGCGTATTTACATATTACTGTTCGTAGAGCCATTTCTGCGCGGGACAACGACTTGGATGGAATTTCTTTGGGCTTTGGTAAGGAAATTTGTTTTGGGATTGCACCATTGGCTTGTGCGGGAGGCGGCTTGGGAGTGACTTGCAGGTTGCTGACTTGGTTGTTGACTTCGAGCAATTGCTGGTCTCTGTTCGCGATTCTTTGCTCTATTTCTCTTCTACGACATTCGCCGCAGTTGACATCGGGCAGGTTTTTGGGTCGCTTGCATCCTTTGCATCTTTGATGTTCAGGGAAATCGAACTTTTCCTCCGCGACATGTGGCCATGGGCATTCGTCGGTGCAGAAGTCTGGGCTGTAGCATTTTTGGCAGAAGCGTTTATTGTACGCTTTTCGGCAAACTTTGAAGCTGTGACCATGTTCGCCACAATTAAGACATCCTTTTGGGGCTCTTGGTCGAATTCTTATCTCGCGAAGTTCTGACTGTATCTTGAAGACTTCAGAAATTTTGTGTCTGAAAAGATCACGGGTACGATGATACAATTTTTCTGTGTAGTTGTAGTCATCTAATAGCGAGTAGTAGTCTGCTTCGTAAGAATCGGCTTTCTGCTTCAATTTCGCGGCTTCGGACTTGAAGTGGTCAATTTCCTCTTCATTTTTCGAAAGCTGTTGAGCAGTTTCTTCTCTATGTTTCGCAAGTTGATCTGCGAGGTTTTGCTTCTCTTGGACCAAATCTGACAACATTTTATAATGCGCAGCCATGTTGGTGATACCACTGGTGGACGGTGTTGCTTCGGCTGCAGCAAGTTTTTCGCGAAGTGTGCTGATAGTTTGGTTAGCTTCTATCAGCTGTTCAGAAAACTCTTGTCGCGAATTCACGATGTATTCAAGATTTACTTTATTTAACATCATGAAACCGGACAATTGCTGGTCGAACTCCAGTTGGCTTCCATTATCAGAGATTGCAGAAATTCGAGTTATTGGAATCTCGGGGAGGCTGGACAAGCTGTTGGCGTTGTTGTTGTCGGTTGAATCCATGTTGAATCTAAAAAGAAATTTTACAAATTGTTTTGCGATCGAAGACCCTTTTTTGCGAGTTTTAAATCATTCACATGATATTTTCCAACTTTTTTACCATGCATGTCGCCGATAATTACCACCATGGGGGATAATTTTTCGTTATAACGGCTGGGCCTTTATATCGAGGCGCTAATTTAGAACTATAACCTTCGATGGCTTTTGACAATTTATTATTTGGATAGAATACTAAATTTTCAAGTTCGAAATTTATATCATTTTTGCGGTTTTTATTATAATTTTTTCTTTGCTTTTCACAAGCTTTGGTCATTAATTTTTGAACTTTTACACGAAGGTTGTCTATGCGTTTTAATCGTTCTGTCCAGTCATTGACTATATTGTCAGTTGTCAGTTTAGTGTTAATTTCGAGTTTTTGTCCTCCTGTACGTCTTGGTTCGCGAGCGAAATTCAAGAATGCGGGAGTTACACCTAAGGAAGAGTGGACGGTAGTATTGTAAGCAAATTGTATTTCTTCTAACAACAAATCCCATTCGCGTTGATTTTCGCCAAGGAGACTGGCAATCATCGTTTTAAGGTTGCGATTAACACGTTCGACAGGGTTCGACTGTGGGTGATAGACCGGTGTCGTGCGTTGGTCAGAACCAATTTCGTTTAAGAATTTCGTAATATTGCGATTAACGAATTCAGTTCCGTTGTCTGTGACAAAAGTTCTGGGTGTTCCCCATTTGTTAATTAAAGTGTTTAATGACTTAACAATTTTTGGACTGTCGGCTTTTGATAGGGCGAAACATTCAATATACCGTGTGTAAATATCTTCGCAAACTAAAATGAAGGATTTTCCTGATTTAGATCGCAGAAGTGGTCCTACAATATCTAAAGAAACAATGTCCCATGGTTCATTAAACTTACGCGGATACATAAGTCCTTGAGGGGGTTTGTTTTTAGGTTTGCATTTTAAACAAATTTCACATTCGTCGATATATCTTCTGATATCTTCGCGCATACCCGGCCAATAGTGGTGATTAATAATTGACAAGTAAGTTTTATTAATTCCTTGATGTGCGGATTGTGGGGTGTCATGATATTTAGAAATAGTCTGGAGTATTTCACTTTCTTTTAACACTTTCTTCCATGCGTTGTTATCGCCTATGGTTTCTTTGAGTTGGTTTGGTTTGTAATAGTACAGTTCGCTGTTCGAGTCGAGTCTGTATCGTTCGTAACGCGTGGGGGTATTACGCACACGTTCAACCATCTCGTCGTACCAAGATACGCTGTGGGTGTGACTTAGCTGTGAGGAGGGCGTGTCTTCCGAGACGTTCTCGTAAAGGCGCGATACAGTGTCAGCTGCTTCGTTGGTTGTACCTTCGCGGTGCTCAATTTTCGCATTATTCGCTGATAATTCTAATGCCCATCTCGCAAGTCTACCTCGCGAATCTTTTAAGTTTTGCAACCAAACTAGACTTTAATGGTCGGTAATTACCGTAAATTCTGTGGCTTCGAGAGAACATCGCAATTTCTTAATCGCAAAGATCACAGCCAAGCATTCCTTCTCGGTGGTAGTATAATTTAACTCTGCACCTCTCAAAGGTCTGCTTAGACATTTGATGAGATATTTAATATCTCCGTCTTTTTGAGTGAGAATTGCACCTATGCCGGTGTCGCTTGCGTCTGTGTATAAGAAAAATGGTAAATTTGGTCGCGGCGGATTTAACGTTAAAGCATGTTTTAATAAATTTTTTACTTCTTGATAAGATTTTTCGTGTTCTTCCGTCCATTTCCACGGTACTTTGGGACTTGCTAATTTATTTAACGGTCCTTGTACTCGCGCGATATTACGTAAATGACGGTGATACCAATTTACGGAGCCGTTAAATTGACGTAATTCTTTGCGGTTACGGGGAGTAGGACGTTCGAGAATTGGATCTACGCGTTTCGGATTGGGTTTAAGACCTTCTTTGTCGAGAACAAAGCCGAGATATTCGACAGATGATTTTGCGAAAAATGATTTTTCTCGGTTTATTGTTAAACCTGCTTTGTGAAGAATATCAAAGATAATATTTAACAACAAAAGATGTTCATCGAACGTTTTAAAAATAATAATCCAATCATCGAGATACGCGTGTACTTGATGGATATATTGTTCAGGTAAATTGTTCGTGCGAATGTGTTCGACAAATTTTTCTTTCAGCCTATCAGTTAATTCCTGAAAAGTGGCTGGTGAGTTAGTGAGGCCAAAGGGCATTCTAACCCATTCAAATTGTCCACGTCCGGGTACTACAAAACCGGTATATTCGCGTGAATCTGGGTGAATTGGAATATGATGAAATGCGTCAGTAAGATCCACGGCGTGTCTTAATTAACTTCAACCCAGAAGTTCTTGCCCAGATCGGTTCTTTCTTGCTTTTGTTTCTGGGATGCCCTCTGATGATTTTAAGCATAAAATGAAAAAAATCGGTTGGGCCGTTTTTAAAAAAACTGATTTTTAACATTTTTGAATAAGGTTAATCAACATAGTTTTCTTAAAATAAGTGCAAATAATCGCCACATCTATTTAAGTCATTAAAAATGATATCAGAAAATATGTCCTAGATACTGAGTATCTTTAAGTAACTTTATACCAGAAAATTTAATTAAAAACTGTGAAAAAAGGGTAAAAAACGGAGTTTTTTGAATATTGCTCTCTCCCAGTACATATACACCTAAAATGACCTATAGAAGAATTAAAGAGTATAAAATTTTGAAGTTGCGTGATTTTATTTTCATGATTTTAAATTTCTTATTTCAGAGTAATTTTCCTTTATAAGGGAATGACTAAGCTCGTGGAAAACAATTGAGCTGTAAAAGTAAACACAGCTGTGTTTTGATCGCGTTATCGAACTTGGATCAAGTATTCTCCAAAAGCGAATTTTAGTCAATTAATATTTTATTCCGAATAAAATAAAATTTTCCATGGTAGTTTTATCACGGACAATAAACAAAAAATAAAAATTTTTTTTTTGTTTATGGCAATCAATTACAAAATTTCATGTAAAAAACGAAGTTTTTCAAGAACAATAAGATTTTGGCATTTTACAAAAAGAGAAAAAATAAGCAATTTTTACAACAGAAGATTAAGCAAATTAATACATAAAAGAAATTAAGCGAAGTCCTGTAGAAAAAAAAATGTATGCGAAAATAAAAATTTTTTTTTACAAAAAAAGCGAAGTCCTATAGAAAGAAAAATAAGCAATTTTTACAAAAGCGAAATTGTACAAAAAAAATATAATCAAAATAGATATGTTTCGATATAAGCTTTTCTAAGCGTAATTATTTTCGATAGTTTAAAGCAATAGAATATTAGAAGCAATAATTAATAATAAATAAATTTTTAAAATTGAGATTGTGCGAGCTAATGAGCAATTTTAGAGAATTTTCATCTGGTGTGTGCTTGTGTTGTTTGCGACGCGATTTTGAAAATGAAAATTTATTATTTATTTTCGAAATTCGCGAATTAAGCAAAACAGAATTTTTGTTTGACTTGTAAAAATGAAACAAATTTTTGGCTTTATTATTAAAACGAAAGTTGGTAATTAGCCGTTATAAAGTTGTTAAATTTTAAAATTCAAGTCAAAGCACGTTATGCATTAATTGTGACAAGATTCACAATAATTGCTTGAAATTTTACTTTTAAAAGTTAAGATGTGTGGGGCGCCATTTTGTGACAAGGTTCACAATAATGGCTTATAAAATTAAAACACGTTGGGCGCCATTTTTGTGACAACCCTAATCGCGAGATTTTAATTTGAAAATTAAAAATTGAGTTTGAAAAATATATGTAAGTACGGGTTCGACTCGCGACGGAAAGCACAATATACACTCACACACAGCTGATGAGAACTCTCTGGGTGCGACTACACTAGTTGCAGAGAGCGAGAGAAAGAACGTTGCAAGTACTGCTATCACGATGGCCAAAGGAAAAGATGGACTTACCGCTGTGAATCGCCGGCTCTCTGCGATGAGGAATCTCTACTTATTAAGAATGCGAAGCGAACACTATTAACAACAATAACCGAACAAATGAAGTTATATTTAATTTAGTATTTATTATAACACAAAAGAACAGTGATTTTAACAAAGAAATAACGCTAATCACGTATAACTTAGTGCGCTGTTCGCAACAATCTTTTATTATAATTTTCGACAATCTTTTAGCGCAGCTCGCGACAATCTGCCTGTCGGCGTCTCTTTTCGCTAGCACGCGGTTTTGTCGTCTGCTTTCAGCATCGAGAATCGATGTATCGATTAGTCATATCTCGCGATAGAACATCGATTCGCGAATTTCAAATAGTGTGGGAAGCAACTGCGATTAAAATCAATTCGGTTTGTTACAATTAATTCCTAAATTTTCAATAAAATTCTTTCCGCAAAAATTCAATTATTTTCATAAAGAACAATATTCTTTGTATGAATTAAATTATTTTTATAAATAAAATATTTCAAAAAATAAATTCACTTATTTTTAGAAATAATAAAATTTTGCGCAAAAATTACCAATAATTTTCAATAAAATGAATTTGATTTTAATAAAATTTTACGGAACAATTCATTTTTTTTAATTTTTAAAAAAATTTTCGATAGAATTAAATTATTTTCTAAAATTTTAATAAGTCCTTGGAAGCAATTCTATTATTTTTAAGTTTTGCAGTTAAATTAATTGCTAAATTAAATTATTTTTGTAAATAATAAAATTGTTCTAAAGAAATTTTATTTTCAAATTAAATTTTGAAAATAATTGAATAACTCTGAAGAAATCTATTATTTATAGACAATATTGTATTATTAAAAAAAAAACACAAATCAATAATTATTTCTTTAAAGAATTTTATTAATATTTGAAAATAATTGAACTCCTGTGAAGAATTTTATTAATTTTAGAAAATATTTGCATTTTTGTGAGGAATTTTATTAATTGTTGAAAATAATTGCATTCTTTCCAGGAAATTTATTATATTTGTGAAAATGTAATTGAATTCTTGAATAAAAAAAATTAGTAAAATCTTCAAATAAATTCAATTAATTTCAAAAATAAAAAATTATTCCAATTTTTCGAAAGACTTTAATTATTTTCTAAAATTAGTAAAATTATTCTTAGGAATTCAAATATTTGCTTAAATCATAAAAATTCTTCACAGAAATTCAATTATTTTTCTAAAATCTGTAAAATTCTTCTCAGGAATTCAATTATCTATAAAAATTAGTTAATGTTTTCACAGGAATTGAATTATTTAAAAAAAATTGAAAATAATTCTTAAAAAAAATTTAATTAGGGTTTTGAAATATTTTTTAATAATTCATAGCGAGAATTTAATTATTTTCATAAATAATAAAATTCTTTGAAGGAATTCAATTATTCTAAAATTTTTTGTAAGAATTCAATGATTTTCAATACATTAATTTTAAAATTAAAAATATTGAAAAAGAAAAATTAATTATTTTGCGTTTTAATAAAATTTTTCGAAATAATCAAATTTTAATAAATTTCAATTATTTCTATAAATAATAAAATTGTTTGCAAAAGTTCGCAATACTTTTTAATGAAATTTCTTGAAAGAATTCAAGTTTTTTAAAAACTTTTATAATATTTTTCGAAAAAAATAGAATTTGTTTTTAAAATTTCAATAAATCCTTTGAAACAATTCAACTTTTTAAAATTTTTAATAAAATTCATTGACAATTTTAAAAAGCTGAAAAGAAATTTTTGTTTAATTCAATTATTTGAAAATTTTCATTTCAAATTATTTTAGAAAAATCAGATTTTTTTATAAAAGAATATATAGAAATACTTCAAAAAAATTCAATTAATAGAAAAATTCTAATAAAATTTTATAAAAGAATTTAATTTTCAATGAATAATTTTTAATAAAAGTTTAATAGTAAAATTATTTATGAAAATTATTAAGAAAATCGATTATATTCAATAAATTAAAGAGATTTTTTGAAGGAATTCAATTATTCTCAAAATTTTTGCAAGAATTCAATGATTTTCAATATATTAATTTTAATGAAAATTAAAAATATTGAAAAAGAAAATTATGAAAAATGTTAGGAAACAACAACTAACTTCACACTGCGAACAGAACGAATGAAAAATCACAGAGATTAATATAGTTAATTAATTCCTTATAATTAATAAAATAATAATTAAAATTAATAAAAATCTAATTTTATCGGTTTACAAATGGGGCTGGCAATATCGCTAGCTATGGCGCGCACATTCAGCTGCTTATGTGCCGGCATTTCTGTCCGATTAATCGGCCCGAGGTCGTGCATATACGCACCCTATTAGCGGACATTTTGTTATCTGGGCCTACTAAAAAAATAATGACAAAACATCAGAAAAATAATCAGAATTTCTGGTGTTTTTGAGCAGTTTTTCTTACCATTGCAGCTCAAAAACATGAAAAAGAAATAGAACCCTTCAAAATACTGTCAAGAATCATGAAAACTTTTATGACTGCCACCGAATTTTTTTTATAGCATAACAAAAAATCTTTTTGCTTCCTCATAAAGGAAGCTTTGTATTAGCAAAATTTTGGATTGTCATTTTTTGACATATTTATAAATTTTTTTATTATGCCTAATACTTTAGTACTTTATATATGCACAGAAACTCCTCGTATAAATGTTCTAAATAAATAAAAAAAAATTTCGACGTATTTTGACCTCCGAAGTCCAAAAAACGGAATTTAAAAATTTGTCCCGATGTGTATGTGTGTGTACAAACATTAAACTTGCCTCAATATCTCAGAACGAGAAAGAGCTATAGGCCTCAATTTTTTTTTAAATTGTAGGTCTCCCCGGGGGACATAAAATGAGAGTATTTTTAGTCCGATTCATGAAGTTTAACTATTTTTTTTTGCATTTTTCATTTTGTAAAAAAACGTTTTTTGGACATAACTTAAAAAAATGTTAGGACACTTATAAATGTTTTTCTTTAGTTTTGTAGAGTTTTTTCACACGCATCTTTTGAGCCCTAATTAAACATTTTTCGTTCATATTAACCGGAAATATTAAACTTTAAAAAATCAAACATTTTAGAAAATAAGACTTTTTTGAAAATTTTGTTGAAAAATGTAAAAGTTTAGTTTTGTTTCGTATTTAGTTTTGTAGAGTTTTTTTAGACGCATCTTTTGAGCGCTAATTGAACATTTTTCGTCCATATTAACCGGAGATATTAAACTTTTAAAAATCTAAAATTTTGAAAAATAAGATTTTTATAAAAATTTCTTTAAATTATGTAAAAGTAACTTCAAAAAATTATTACCAACTTGAAGAGCATTATAAAACGCTTCGATTGACCTATTTTTTAACCTGATTCGGGCAGAAATTGTGAATTTATTGGTATTTGAAAAATCAAAAATTGTGGAAAATATCATTTTTTCAACATTCTTGTTTATTCACTTATGTGTAATTATTAAACTATAATTACCATCTTATAGAATATATAAAAACACATTTTTTGGACCAAGATTTTATGATTTTTAACCCTTTTATAAAAAGTAATTCTTATATTTCAATTATTATTATTTCTATGAGGAAGCAAAGTGTTCATGAAATGAACACCAAAATTATAAAAATGTACAACTTGGCAGCGGTTTTGGGGATGTTTTCTTGTTCCTTTATGTAAAACGGTCGTCACGCCTTTTATAACTTACGTATGAAATCGAAAAACCATTATACCTTTTTTAATGTTTAAAATCATTTTTGTTTATTTCAACATCATATTTAATGTTTATAAACTCAGATTATTTTGAAGACTGTTTTACGTATACCTTATACTCTCCCCAGTGGGCACACTTGTTCAAAAGACGTCCTAAGGATGTCTTTTTGCGGACGTCTTTTGGACTTGTACAAAAAGACGACTTTAAGACGTCTTAAAGACGTCCTATACATGTTCTCCCTGTCGGGTTGGGCACTTGGGCTACCGTAAATCTATGTTACGAGCCGAGTTACCTTTTATTACGCAACTCTAACAATGGCATTTGATTGGCCGGATTCTCATTAGTTTAATTCTTTAAAAAGGAAGCGGGAAGGTTTAAAATAATAAAACGTTGAATTCCGGTACAACGGAAGGGAAACCCGTTCGAAAAAAGAATAATTATTTGTTCTCCTCTCGAAGGTAAAACCCTGTAAATTTATTAAAATATCAAAAGATACAAACTGACTGAAGATCAAGCTTTCAAGTCAGAGTCAAGATTAGAACTAAAGTTGAAGTAAAGTCTAGCGAAGACGTTCTCCGCTGAAGTCCAAATTTATAGAATTGCGCATGCGTCAGTTAGACGCACACACACACACACACAAAATACACTGTACGTCATATAATAATGACACTCACACATTTAAGAACCCCAGTAGCACGTAATATTACAGCGATATTGGGAACATTGCCTTAACATTACCAATATTGCCTCAATGTTGTGGCATATTGCTGGAATGTTCCCAATATTACGTGCTACTTGGGAAGTATCATCTCACAACATACAACATACTGTATTCTAAATAATAATAATTAATAACAATAATTATTAATAATATAATTAATAAATATTAATTATAACGCAGATTCTTTATACATTTCGTATTCTCTAAAATTCCACTGCAATCCCTGCAGTCACAAATGTGTTGAACACATGTTCCATTGTCCTTTAGAAAACGGCACTTGAGATATTTTTTACATTACTTCGAAGGATTAGGTTTTATGACCTAAGAAACTCAATATCCAATTTCTATTTTAACTTTACTAGATTTACGACATTTCTAAGAAATGTTTTTCGTTCGTAATATAAACACAACAAGTTTGGAATTTATTTAAGTGTGACAATTCTTCTAACAAAGAATTTCCTGTTTTCATCTCAGAGATTTTCGCTTTAACCCGTGGGAAATATTATTTAGAACTACCAAATTGTTTTTATTTATTTATAAACTATTAAAATTTAGCGCTTTTATATCGCAATTCGATGTATCGAAAATGTTCGAGCGAGATAATAGTCGCTCGAAATTGCTATTATTCAATGAAATATTATAAAATAAATTATTGGGAATAATAAAGTAACATTTGTAGATTAAATTTTTGAATTATATTATGTAAATTGAACAATTATAAATAAATTATTGATATGTAAAAGTGACAAAGTAGTTTACAGTGAATATAGTGCGGGTTTTAAATAGCATATTTAGTGAATAATGAAAAGAAAAAATTAGGAAAACTTATTTAATTCAACAGAAGTAATCATTAAAGCATTTATTTATTACATATTTAGGGCAAATTAATGTTTACTTATTGAATAATTAATGTTTAAAGTTGGAGATGTC